TAGAATAGAATAGAATAGAATAGAATAGAATAGAATAGAATAGAATAATAAAATAAAATAAAATAGTATAGAATATAGAATACAGAAGAAATAATAATAGAATAAAATAAAATAAAATAGTATAGTATAGTATAGTATAGTATAGTATAGTATAGTATAGTATAGTATAGAATAGTATAGAATAGTATAGTATAGTATAGTATAGTATAGAATAGAATAGAATATAGAATACAGAAGAAATAATAGAATAGAATAGAATAGAATAGAATAGAATAGAATAGAATAGAATAGAATAGAATAGAATAGTAGTATAGTATAGAGTATAGAATATAGAATACAGAAGAAATAATAATAGAATAGAATAAAATAAAATAATGAAGTATAGTATTAGTATAGGATAGGATAGAATAGAATAGAACAGAAGTAGAATAAGAATAGAATAAGAGTAAAGAATAGAATATAGAATACAGAAGAAATAATAATAAAGTAAAATAATGAATAGAACAGAAGTAGAATAAGAGTAGAATAAGAGTAAAGAATAGAATAGAATATAGAAGAAATAATAGAACAGAAGTATAGAAAATAATACAGATATAGAAAAACATAGCATAGAATATAGAAATGTAAAATAGAATAACTCAGCGTAGAATATAGAATACAGAAAATATAAAATAAATAGCATAGCATAGCATAGCATAGCATAGCATAGCATAGCACAGCATAGCATAGAAATAGAATAGAATAGAATAGAATAACATATAAAAATAATATATAGAATAACATAGGATATAGAAAATATAAAATAGAATAACAGCATTGAATATAGAATAGAGAAAATAATATAGAATAAGTCAGCATAGAATATAGAATAGAATAAAATATAGAAAATAATATAGATGTAGAATAACATAGCAGAGAATATAGAAAATAATATAAAATAGAAGAACAAACAGCATAGAATAGAGAATAGAATAGTAAATAGAGAATAGAATAAAGTATAGAAAATAATATATAGAATAAGATAGCAGAGAATATAGAATAGGATTCAGAATAGCATAGCATAGCAGAGTTGGAAGGAACCTTGGAGGTCATCTAGTCTAACCCACAAGAGACGGAATCCCCGATCGGAACTGGACGGGAGGCCACTAGAAAATCACAGGTTTCCCAGGAAATCCCAAAAGCCTCCCAGAAACATCCATGTGTCCAGAAAATCACAAGAAGGGAGATACTTGAATTGAAAACCTTCTCAGTTCAAGGCAAGCCAGAAGCATCAACCCAGCCGATTTACTTTTAAAACTCCAGGTGTTGAGTATTTAATTTAATTTGGTAACCAGGTCAAGGGTGGTGTGTAAACATGGCCTAAGAGTGCCTGCCTGCCTAAGTTGGCTCTTTGTTTTTCCTCCTCCCTGCCTAGCCCTTTCCTTGCATGCTGACTTGACTCTGATGGAAAGCGTGAGGTCATGTAGAGCTTCCTGGCTTCAATTGATTTGGCAGCCTTTTTGGGGAGGGGGAAAAAAAACTGCCCGTGTGTATACATGCACAGGGTTTTGTTTTTGTTTTTAAAAAAATACAAATAAGTCAAACAAAAAGCTTTTTTTTTTTTTTTGAGCTGGCCTCGCCTCTTTCTCCCTCCTTCCTCCCTTTCTGCCTTTTCATCAGAGGCTCCGTTTCTGGCTCAGGAGAGATTAATAAAGAATCCTGTAAGCCGATCCTGGATTCCAGCTTTGCTCCCGGATGGACGTGCTCTCATGCCCCCAGATTTAGCAACCGAGGGACAGATACTTCCCCAGGCACGCCCCCAAAGGGTTGGGTTGGGTGGGTGTCTGTGTGTGTGTGTGTGTGTGTTCAAACCCAAATAGATGATATATGAAGTTTATAACAACAGAGTACCAGAATTGGAAGAGACCTCAAAGGGTCCAAGAAACGGGTATGGTTAGTCTGGATAAAAGGGTTAGGCAGGTGATGTGATTAGATTAGATTAGTACAGAGAACAGAACAGAATAGAATAGAATTCAGAATAGAATATGATTCAGAATAGAATAGAGAATACAATAGAATAGATATTGGAATGAAGAATAGAATAGAATACGAATAGAATAGGAATAGAATAGAATAGAATAGAATAGAATAGAATAGAATAGAATAGAATAGGAATAGAATAGAGAATAAACAGAGTTGGAAGGGATCTCAGAGGTCTTCTAGTCCAACCCCCTGCTCAGCCCTACACCATTCCAGACCAATGGCTGTACAGTCTCTCCTTAGAAGCCTCCAGTGATGGAGCACCCACAATTTCTGGTGGCAAGCTGTTCCACTGGTTAATTGTTCTCACCATTAGGAAATTTATCCTTAGTCCCAGGTTTCTTCTCTCCTTGATTGGCTTCCACCCATTGCTTCTTGTCCTACTTGATAGCAGTCTTGCATTATTTGAAGAGTGCCCCAAAGAAGAAGCCCCAGAAGGCAGGACAAGAAGCAACAGATGGAAACTAATCGAGGATAAAAGCAACCTGGAATTAAGGAGAAATTTCCTACCAGCTATGACAATTAACCAGTGGAACAGCTTGCCTCCAGAAATCATGGGTGCTGGAGGTTTTGAAGGACGGACACCTGTATGAAATGGTGTAGGTTCTCCAGCTGGAGCAGGGGCTTGGACTAAAAGACCTCCAAGATCCTTTCCGGTTCCATTCTGAATTGAATTGTCTTTTACTCTTTGAGCAGAAGATCCTATACCATTCTGGGGGGGTAAAAATAATCTCAATTTTGATCACGTGGCCACAAGGTCAATAATTGTGAAACATGGTCATAAGTCACTTTTTTCAGTGCTGTTGGCCACTGAACGAACTTGTGATGACCCAGGGTGGGATACAAAACAAACACAGTCACAGAAAACAGGTGAAGACCCTTTTATTCCTTCACTTTGCTTCCAAGTTCCGAATATCCTCCAGGGAAGACAAAAAACTCCCACACAGACAGTTACAAGGAGGAGGAAAAAAGCAACACAAACCAGGCAAGATAAGGGCTGGAGAACGTCCACAGATAACAGAACACATACTGAGAAGGATGCCAAACTCAGAGAGGAACCATAGAGATATTTCCACGCTTTGTTTCCAGTGTTCGCCCATACGCATGTCCGTCCTCTTATTCATTTGTCACAGCTGCAGCCCATGGAGAGGATCAAGGCCCTCTCCTCCTGAGTAGACCATGTCTCTCCCTTATCTTCTCCTCCCTGCGTGCCCTAGGATGGAGAGGGGACGGGCCTGGGTCCTCCTCCGACTGCCCAGCCAGCCTCTGCCCTTCCCCAGCCTCCTCCGCAACCTCTGGAGCTACACTTCCACTCCATGTCGGCTGTTCCCCCTCTCCCTCTGAGTCAGTCTCCACCAGGGGCATGACAGAACTGTTGTAAGCCGAGGAGTATTGTACTTTTAAAAAATATGCTTATTACTTGCAATGAGTTATTTCTGAGGCATGGATATCAAGTGACAATCTGATGATATTTTTCTGACGTCAGTGCAATCTGTGTCTTAATTGCCTAGGCACTTTTACTCATAATACTACCGACGGTTTTTAAAACGGTTTGCAATCTGACTACGGAAGGTTTACAGTGCTTATTATAAATTTCCCCATCCTGGAAGCCACGTGGCCAACAGGCTGACGGGAAGGAGACGGCACTCCGTCCTCACCTGGAGTTATTCTCCACTCTTTCTTTCCCTCTAACTTAGCACCGTTCAAGATCCGTCTCTCGGGTTTTTAAAAAACTGGGACAGGCTGAGAACGGTGAATCATTTTTCTGGCTCCCCCGTGAAAAAAAGAAGAGAAAGAAAAAGAAAACCAGGAAGCCAAAACCGAATGCAAAATTCTCTCGGATGGGTGTGGTGGCTTGAAGCTGCTCCTGAAAAATGTTGCTTTTTCTCCAAGATGACAGTGAAATTTTTCGTCCTGGTTTGGCAGGTTGAGAGAGAAACGGGACAATTTTCCAGATCCCTCCATTAAAAACAAACTGAAATTCTCCATGGCTACCTTTCCCCAACTAGGAGCCCTCTGAAGATTGGACTACATCCCCCATCATCCTCCACTGACCACGAGTTGCAGAGCACCAGGATGAGAAGGATGGGCAGAAATGGTGTAGGGTCTCCTGCTTGGGTGGGTGGGGGGGTTGGACTAGATGACCTACAAGGTCCCTTCCAACTCTGTTCATCTATCTAAGATCTAAGATGACCCAGAGGAGTGGCGGGGGGGATGGGAAGGTTCGTGGGCAGGGGTGGGCAATTTTGGCATCTTTACCACCTGCGGACTTCAACTCCCAGAATTCCTGAGGCAGCCATGTTGAAGTCGAGTTCACAGGTCATAATGTAGCTATGGTTACCCATCATCTCTGTGTTGTCCATATTTTGGGGTGTTTTGTTTTCTGGGTAAATGCATCCCCTACCCTGGGCTAAAATAGGGCATCAGGCAAAGATTTGTGCAGGGGAACCAGGATTTAGTTGGTTTCTTAGAGGAACTCTAGTTGCTAGCATCAGGGTTTGAACCTGGCTAATATTTTGGATGGGGTACAACAAGTAAATCCAACATTTGAGACCAGACTGGGAAGAATGTGTGTGTGTGTGTGTGTGTGTGTGTGTGTGTGTGTGTGTGTATTTATTCCCAGACTGGCCTCAAATGTTGGATTTACTTGTAGTACCCCATCCAAATATTAGCCAGGTTCAACCCATACACACACACACACACACACGTATATAACATATTTATAGCCCTGAAA